GCAAAAGAAATTTACTCTTTGCTCTTTGTGGGAGTTACAAAGTTCACATTGTGATGCACTGCTTCTGATTAATCGATTAGGAGTGTCATTTCTAACTCTGGTCAGCAGTCTAAGCATTTGCATATCATTGTACCAATCAATGAGAGAGAGGGATGAGAGACTAGGAAGTTGAAAATGAGATCAATTGGAGTTTTAATGTTTATAATTTTTAAAACATGTTGATTAAAAAGCATATCTCACTTGCCATGCTTTGAAACATTTCTTGGATTGTAATAGTTTTAATAAAACTATTGAAATGTTCTTCTTGGTGTAAAACAGTTATCGTTTTTAAGTTTGGGTCAATACAGCCGGTTAGACAGGACCCCAGTCAATTCGGCCGTTCTCCAGATTACTATTTAGTATTGCTTCCACCTTCATTGTGTTGTTGACTATTCTTATGTATCTTGTGGATAAATAAGATACATAATCTTATTTATCTACAAATAAGATAAATAAGTATAGCCTTACGTAGAGTATGGCCATAAGGTAAGGATGGATTATGATTTCTAATCAAACCTAAAAGTAACCTTCTCCTGAAAGACAGTAGTTATCTCATACATAACTACATTTTCTTAGTTATATATTAAATAACTGTAACAAGCTGCAAATGTACATTACAGCAAAAGGGCCAAATTGATCAGCGGCCCAGCCAGAAAATGGTACGCCTCAGTGCTGTTGTGTAATTAAAATTTTTGTTTTCCTGACTCCCTGTAGCTTTTTTTCTGAAAGCTTCCTCCTCCTAAATAAAATATTATTTCTTGGTCTCTGTTAAAAATGTAAGATACAGTCTGTTTATCCCTCCTGGTTTCATGTGACTCAAAGTTGCTGTGATTGGGCTGAGCAGCTAAAGGAGAGAAAGTGGTGTGGGGATAGCTCAGTGTTGTGTCTGTGTTCAGTGGGATTACAAGTGTGAGCCTGAACGTTGTCGAGCGTGTTGGTTGTTGTGATGTCATTCTACCCACATCAGAGGCTGCTGGCAACATAAGATGCTCTTAATCATTTATGGCCCTGTCACCACTTGTCTCAGTTGGAGCCTGAGTCACACGGAGCAGTGAGTGCACTGTTATATAAAGGCTTTGTCACCAAGTGGCACATTAACTGGGGCAGTCGTTTGCAGATAAATTGTAAGATATTTATCATGTCTTCTGAAATATTTTCCCTTTACATAAACATGTCAGGCAAATAAAGTACAGTCTTCTTTGTGAATCTGCACCAACGCTTCACTTACAGTCACGAGGAATAAAAAACTGTAGAAGTCAAACTGGAATCTCAGGTTTAGGTGAGCTATTTCTGAGACATTGTTTTTCTTTCTGTTTGGATTTGCGGACTGCATGCAATGAAAAGTGAATGAAACTCAAAACATTTTCATTTTCAATATCTTTGAGAAAATATGCACCCATGCTGACAACAAGCAGAAGTGGGAAGAAGTTTGTGACTGTGCATGTCTACAATAAGTTAGGCCTGTTGGATTGACTCAACCTATCATTAATGCCCATATCTTTAGATATTGAAGCTCTGACAGCAGTGCATAAACTGTGTAGTGATAAAGAGATTACAATTACAGGTTAGTTGTAATCAAAACTCCCAGGGAAGGAAGATAATGGGAAGCTGAATGGAATTAAATCGAGGTTGATGGATACGTAGATAGACATAGATAAAGTGTCCAGGTAGCATCTAAGAATCACAAAATACTTTGGCCTGCTGTGAAGTTTCACCTTCTCGTCAGAAAAAAACCTTTAAACATAGAGCCAATGCAATGGTTTGATTAATGCATTCTTCAAATCCCTTCCACTTAACAACTATGTCAACTATGTACTTTGTTTCAGTCCACCATATTAAAATAGAATACATTCAATAAAGAGCTGAAATGTAAAAGGGATGCGAACACTTTTGCAAGACACCATTTAAAACATCCTCAAACTCTCTCATACAAACTGCTCCCAAGTTTAAGCAGAAAATGACATAGTACAGATTTAATTGTTGCACAGCACATCAAATCATAATTGAGATTGCAGTATCAATGTGTGCAGCTTACATTGGTTATGCAAGTTGCATACATAGCTTGTCCTGGATGAACCACTATGTTGGCAATTATGTTTAAGTTGCATTCATAAGTGCTCTGTACTTGATGCCTCAAATCAATGTAAAATTTGGTGGCAGACTTTCTTAACCTCTCGAAAAGGAAGAATAACAGTGGAAAACACAGAAGACAAGTGAGGACAAATTTGTTGATCACAAACAACATTGTCCTTGCAATATTTAACAGAAATATTATAATTGTGTTTTTGTCATATTGTGCAGCCCTAATTGTAGTGGTGACTCATTTTCTCAAACAAATGAAGAGTCCCAAGTCCCCTTTCAAACAAAAGGGCTGTTTAAAGCTTGATTAAATTGTATTTTGAAATAAAAATAAGCCATGACCTGCCATTATCTTAAATTACCCTTTTTCTTTTATAGTTTACTGAAAGGCTAATATGACATGACTGTAGGCTATACTTCGTCTTTTTGTCCGAGCCACAATATTGGGGTCATATAACCAAGAGGGGGGAGGTTTAAAGCTGCGAACATCAAGAATCTCCCAAAGGCAAAAAGCTGGCCATTTCCTGTCATGACCCCAAGGTGTTCGCTTTGGGTCTTTTGATATTTGAGAACCCACTGACATTTTTTTATGTGGAGATTGAATATCTTCTTGTTACGCATCACTTCAAAAGCATTGCTCTACTGTGGAGATTGTCTCATTGCCCTGCATAAGGCCACCAGGAAGGGTTAATCCATCAAAATGAGCTGATCTCTCCATGCAGGGGATGAAATCTTTTTCTCTTGCTGTCTCCGGCCGGCTTAGAGACAGGAAGTCCGTTTGTTGGCCTCCACATTGCTCTGATGTTGCTGTAGAGAAATGCAAATCTCTGTGCTGTGGCGAGGAACATAACCCTGGATGAGTTGTCCTCATTGGTCTGATAAGCATTCAGAAGCCACCAGTTGAAACTCTGCTAATTAGCATCTATGCATGAACCTTTCAAAGGTTTAACACCGACAGATCATACCCTCTTAATGTAACCACAGGGCCACAGTTCAGAGTGTTTGGTGTGCTTTCAGTTGTAAAGTATAAGCTTACAGTTTTGCATCCAGTTGTCTAAACAGCTTTCCTAACAATGAGCTCATTTCAGTTTTCTGATGGGGTGGTGCTAGCTTGAACTCAAATAACTCACAATCAAAGTGTAGAGAAAAGATTTTCATTTGCTCTTTATTCAGCCTCTGTGAGGGCAGTGCGTCTTTCCCATTAGTGCTGGATTTACAGACATACTGAATTAAATTGGTGAATGCAGAAAATAAAAACCACAAGTTTTTTCTAAGAGGAGCAAAAAAAAAGAAGAAAAAAACATAGCGGGAATCTCTTCTGTCATTTATCTAACTCGGCTCTGTTCCATCTGGTGTTAGTTGCATTTCCACTTGAATGAGTTCTTGTCAGAAATGCAAATGATTTCATGAGTGATGTTCTTTAGGAATATTGTTCAGTAAAGCAGCTATTCATTCATGGAAGCAATTCAAAAGCAAGCTCAGAGTGTGGGCTTCAGCCTCAGTTTGAAAACACTGTAAATGATGGTTCATGCTGTCTGGATTGAACAATTGACATCCTTGTTACAGTGATCCATGGAGTTTGTGAACTTGTGACTCACACATTAAGTTGGTGCTGAGACCCAATTTCCTGAACACCCGAGCCAGAGTTGAATTTGAGTTTCACTCTGTTTAAATCACCTCATCAGTGATAGTAAAAAATTAAGAGAATATATTTAGCGTCTTAAAAATCTTTGTTGTCATAGCTACTAGACACGTTTTCTTACTTTTGAGGTTACAATTGGGTTAATCAGAAACAACTGAAGTTGAAGGAAATACTTCATAATTTGTACATTTTCTTCTGAAATGTCCTCAAGCTTATACCTAACTGCAGCTACATCTATTGCTGGGTGGTGATATTGAAAGAAAAATAAAATAAAATAAAATACAGCGAACACAAAGCAGCCAAAAATGCTGGCAAAACTTTTCAAATATGCCACATTTTTACTTTGGCGTCTGTTTGTATCAAATTTTCCTCTCAAGACCCCGACGGCAGGGCAAGGCAACTTCAGTTATGTAGCACCTTTCAGTCAATGACAAAGTTAACACATTTTCTTTTCTCTGGTGTGCGGGGAAGAGGATCTGTTCTTAGTAGTCTTTGGTTTAAGTTGAACGTCGCTGAAGAAATACTGCAGACCTTCTCTCCACTTCTTTTCCCTCCTGTTCCTTTATTATTTCAAGCTTGAGTTGTTCTGGCTCCCAGTATAATGTCTCTTTCTGGTTATGTAACAGTCAGGGGCCTAAATGGGAACTAAAGCACAGCAGACACTGCAGTGGATGGAAAAACAGAAGGAGACAGTCGAGAAATAGGGCACAAAAATGTATCAAAGGAACAGAACAAATTTGAATGGAAATCCACTACAATGGTGTCCTTTTTTCCCCAAGTGGATTGGTGTTGGGTAAACGTGCTTGTAGTTAGACAGCCTCCTTCACCATTACATAACGCCCTTGAAGATGTTTGCATTTAAAATGTTTTCCAGTTTAGAACTACTTCAAGTCAGGATTCATTTTTGGGACACAGCAGCAAAAGTTTCCATTCGGTTTAGCCATCAGGAAACAAATGAGTTACGTGATAGGTTTTAACAAAGTTGTCTGGAGAAGTTATTTATGGGGACTTTAAATTTTCCATTTGGTTCTTAAAGGGGCTTCATCTTTAAAAATCAGTCTCTAAGAAGCTTATACTTGCATGTCTAAATTAAACTTTGTAGATGTTTTTTTTTTTTTTGTTTTTGTTTTTTTTTATTAGAGTTGACATGTCTGTTAAAATTTCCGCGTTTGCCTGCCAGGTTTTTACTCTGTCTTTCTAAGTACACTTACATTGACATTTGTTTTGTTTTATTCTACAGATTCCTTCAACTGAGCGGAACAGAAGGAACAGGATGATTTCAAACTCTAAACACCTGGAATTACACTTGCTTTGATAACCTCCCACTAATCTCAACAAACTTTAAAAAGAACTAAAAGCCTAGTTACTGATTTGGATCACAACTGAAAGGCTGCCATCATGCCTATCCTCAAGCAGTTAACGGGCAACTCCAACCAGTCGAAGAGGAGGTCAAGGGCTGACCTCACAGTTGAAATGATCAGCGCTCCTTTGGGCGACTTCCGTCACACCATGCATGTTGGACGAGGCGGGGACGCCTTTGGAGACACTTCATTTCTCAGCTCCCGATCAGGGGAACCTCCAAGGGAGTCCCAAACAAAGGAGGGCTCACCAGGTCCTAAACCAGGGCTTCTGTCCCGCACCTTCAGAAGCAGCAAAAGGTCCCAGTCTGTTAACAGAGTAGACAAGTATGAGAACATTACAACACTGCCTTCTGCTGCCACATCTCTGCCTTACCTGAACGCTGAAAGTTCAAACATAGGCAACCATCTGCCAAAAAGTGTGTCTTCCAGTCCTATGAAGACGCTGGTGGAAGATAAGCCAATGAACGGAGGGGCAGCTATGGCCACATTGGATGCTGAGCTCGACGAACGAAACTTCGGTGAACTTAAAGACCTGCCTCCATCCATGCCAAAAGGTGGTGGGATGAAAAAAGCAGAATCCGTGATGTCCTTCCACATCGACTTGGGGCCTTCAATGCTCGGGGATATCCTCAGCGTGATGGAGAAGAAAAACTGGGAAGAGGACGACCTTGGCTTTGAGGAAGGCAAAGGTAGTGAGGAGCATGCATCACCATCCCATATTCCTCACATCGACGATGACGACGCAGAGGACTGGGCACCTTCTAGACCACCTCGTAGTAATTACCAGCTCCAGCAGAAGGTCACGCCGGATCCCTACGATCCGGAGATCAGCGAATCAGAAAGGAACAACCACCACACGGATAGCTGTTCTGTGTCCAGCTCTGGTTCTGAAAAACCTCAGTACAACCTCCACGATGGCAACACAAACAGTGTGAAGTACAGTTCATCACACAGGGATGATGATTTCGACTTCATGGATCAGGAGGATGATGAGATTAGAGTCTAGATTGAGCAGCAGTCTGTTCCATGCAGAAGAATTTAGGAGACGCCCATAGGAGAGGATTACAGTCAGAGTCGAGAAGATCTTTACTCACTGTAGGTCAGTCTAATGTTAGATCAGTTTTATCAACACTATAAATAAAATCTCTTAAGTCTTTTTTCACTTTATAGCAAGGAGACTGACAGCTATTTGAAATGTTTGGATCGGTTGATTCTATTTTTACCAGATGTCAACTCAGAGAACATTATTTTTCACTAGTTTTAAATGATAAAGGTAAAGAAGATAAATCAGCAGGGAAAATCACCCACTTTAAAAGGAAGTAAAAGGTGGGGGAAAGATTAGAGAGCAGACTGTGTGGATGTGTTATCAGTTCCAGTGAATGTGGAGGTAAAGAAGAAGAAATGAAACTGATAGGTTTGTAATCCCAGCGGTTTGAAGGTGTAGACACTACAGAGATAGTTATTACTTTTGCTCATGTCTGAGTTTGCTTTTCTTAAATCATTTTGTGTACAGACACTATAAGGATGTCAGTTAAGCGTAGCCTCTTATGTCTGAGGTGGGTCTATTATATTTGCCTCCTTCCTAAATTGTTCTGTCAGCTGTAAAATATTTTTTAAATTGTTTTGTAAGGGATTGATTTGAGAAGCAAATGTGAACTTTGGAGTCTTAAAGGTTTTGATGTATTTGTTTGGGGAACTATTTTATGGTACTATACTGTGATCAATCTCAATGACGCTAAGTACTAAACTCAAGACACCGGATTTTGTATGCTGCGTCACTTCTGAAAGCAAAATGGAAGACAGTTCATTGATTTCTGTGTGCTCTCATGAAACTGACACTCAAAATTGCTGTGCATCTTGGAGCTTCTGTAAATTTTAGAGGGTTTTCTGTATGTATTCTCTTTTCTTTTAAATGTGCAGGAACAGTGGGTTGTTTTTGAAGATGCGTGAATGTATAATTTGTCATCATTAAAGGACAGCGGTACATTGGCTCTCAAAAGCCTACATCCATTTCACAATGCCAAGTTTTTGTAATCTTGATAGATGATCTCAAAACTTTTTCCACATAAAATGTGGCATCTTTCCTCTTTAAAAAAAACCCATTAAAAATTGAAATAGCTAATGCATTGACATGCTTTGCTTTATAATTTCCTATTTATGGTTAAATGCATGCATACCGTGACTAAATGTCTGTACAGCTTTAGTTCAAATCTGATAAAGATCAACCAAGTGCTGGTCATGTCTCTACATGTGACAACAATTTATCTTATTTTCCGTATGTCTGGAAGAAGGAGTAGAGTTTAAACAAATAATGATTTTCTTCTTTAAAAACCCATCAACAACCTTCTAGGGAAAGCATTTTATTTTCTGCTTAAACAAAACTAATTGTTAACTCAGATATGTTTTCCTTAGTTGGAACAGAATTTATTTTATTTTTTTTTTTAATTCATGTAGATGAATTTATGAATGGCCAGAACTGGTCCAAAGCCTGCTAGAAAGCTGGAGATTAGGAGGGATTAAATTTTTCAGCATCATAGCCTAAGCATACATCCAAAAAAAACAAAATGGTGGCTTTGCAAAAAGAAAAATAATGTTTTGATCAGAATTAAATTTCCAGGGAGGTACCACCTTAAAAGGGCTGTGGACAAGTGATATCACCCCAATATAGTGGATTTGGAGAAATTGTACAATATTAAGTTGACAAATGTTTCCAGTCAAGATGAATGAGCTACCAAAGAAGACTGGATGTTGAAACTAAATCAAAAACTTCTTCAGTACAGCATGTTTTCAGGTTGTACACATTTTTGGAACCAAGCTACAGCAACTTGTCACACTGTTTCTCCTTGATCTGATTTTTGTTTGCATATACAGGATGAATGTTTGGCTGTTTGTGGAAAAAGTTTGAAGTCATCTGTCAAGGTGAAGTTGTTTTCCATTCCATATCCTGGCATTTTAATGGTGGGATGGAGGGGGCTTTTTGAGAGGAACTGAAATATTAGGAGCTCAGTGGCTGCGATTCTTACAGCCTGTAGCTTGTTTGTGAAAGCAGAAAGGGGACAGAAAAGTAAGTACAGTGTTTAAGTACAGGTGGTTAGCTGAAAGCCAGGTCTCCAAGAACTGAGAAGGGAACATATCTGCTGAACTGACCCCACCCCAAAAGAAAGACACTTTCTCCTTGAAGTCAAATCACACGGTAGAAGTTTAACCTACAAATTATGTAAGCTGGTCCGATTTGTCCATTAAAAGTGTTGGATTGCCTGCCCTCTTTAAAAGCTGGAACTGCTCTAGCAGCAGACAGGTGGACTTTTTATTTTTTTATCTTGAGTTTTTTATGTCTGTCAGGGTCTGCTGTACACTGCAGCCATAAATTACCAAGTCGTACTTTTCCTTTCCTACACCTGGGAGAAATGTGACCCTCTGTATCTAATTCTGCGTTAGAAAACTAATTGCCACCTTTGACAAACAGGAGCTTTGAATGTTCTGATGTGGAACGGATGCAGGTGTGCGTACAGAGAATCGAGATGCTGTGCCATTCTGCCTCAAGTTGTTTCAAGAGTTGGAACAAGTATGCTTCCAGAAGCCTCCAACGTTACAGTTATCTGCAGGACATTTCCAAGTGCGTTCAAGCTCAACTTCTGTAAGGTGTTTGAATTTGATAAAGACACTAAACGTTTTGTTCCCCACGTCCCCACCGGAATGGCTCATAATTGGCTCCGTAAATCAAATCTGTCAGGAACGTGTTTGGTTTCGTCGGAGACGTGTCACTTAAAACGTGTCCTCCACAAAATGTGCAAACTTCCCTCTGCCGTGTTGAATTCCTACAGCTGTATCACAATGCAGAGAGAAACATTTTCTTCCCAAAATTGTTTGATCCGTCTTGTTCTCTTCAAACTGCTACCTTAACCTCATCAGTGTAGTTTATCAAGACGGTTTTAGGCAGCAGGTGAAGTTTGTGAACGTTTGTGCTAGGAAGCAAGCAGTGGAGGAAGGTGACTTCAGATTCAGTTTTGGCATATGCAGTGTCATGAAGCTTGTTCACTTCTTACCCGGGTCAGTCACCATGGTAACTAACATGTTACGTTTCCAGATTAGAGGTCAACACCATCAAAGCACCGCCTTGCAAACAATCAGTACACTGAGAAAATGGAAAAGCCGGCGTTGCTTGAACAACCTCTCTTAACATGGTTCCATCATGTCTTCTCCCAAATATGTTTCAGACACATTGCTGCCAAATACACACTTGTGTACCATCTGATAGAGATTGATTGCTTTCGACTGATGGTGATTAGAAACTACCATTCACTTGGCGGTACTTTGCCAGAGAAAATAAAAAGTGCTAACCAAGAAATGACCAATTTTAACAGCGGAACAAAAATGTATAATCATTTTTGATTTTTCAGATTAGTATCAATTTTGGACTATTTGTAATATCTTATGTTTAAATGTAAAATCTGTGCTTTTGTGAAATGAAGGAAAGTACTTTTTTTCTCATGTTTTATCATAAAGAATCATACTTTTATTTTTAAAGAGCAGCAGAAACACTCCTCCGCTGTTGTTGCTGTCAAGATTTGTAATTAGTGCCATTAATAATTCCAGAGAACAATCTTTGAAATCAACAGTGTGACCGACTGTTATAATAATGAGGGAGCCAGAGGAATGTTGGAGGCTTTAAGGCTAAACGGAAAGTTTGTGGTTGGATTATACTTGCAAGGTTTGAACTATTTACACCAGTCCACTAACATGAACTGTTGGTGTTATGAATAATTGCAGAATTATGAAATTTTACTAAATTGCACTGAAATGCTTCTTGTTTTTGTGTATTTGTTGTGTCTCTCTTGAGAGGAAACTCCAAAGTAAACCAGAACAAATTATGTTAAAAATTTGCAAATACTGCCTGCCCCAGGTCTGCTTAAGTTCTCCACTCCCTGACAATGTTTTTGAGGCTTAAGAAAAAGATAAGCACTGCAAAAGAAATTCAACAAACTGGCCCAAAGCTCATCTTTAGAAGGCGTTGTTTTTTTTTTTTCCCCATTCTGTGGCTTTGTTATGCCAAGTATGTACTGTTTTTATTCCTCTTCCCAATTCTGATTTTACTTCATATTAATATATTCTCCTCCCTAACTTTCCTTTCCTTGAAATAACAGCTATATTTTTCAATAAAAGAGAAAGCTGGTAATCTTCAACAAAGGCCAAGTTGTTTTTTTTATTTTTTTTTATTATTATTTTATGACTTTGAGTCTCGCCACAGGCTGCCTTATTTTCCCTCTCCTTCACAGGTTTTATTTGCATTCTGCCTCCAAAATGGGCAGCAAGCTGATTGAAATCTAACCTTGAAATAGCCTGAAAAATGTCTGCTGAGGGAGCTGCTGAAGGAGTTCCAGCTCAATCTTCAGTAAAAGTAAAAAAAAAAAAAGAAAAGAGGAAAAAAAAAACCTTGTCCAAGTGGATTATTTTACACAAACAACTGATATAAAAGGGGTGTAATATTATAAGCCACATGAGTCCGCGGAGCTACTTGAACATTACACACTGGCGCTGCTTATTAAAGGCTGGAGAGCTTTTCAATAAAATACAAAAATCATTAAAAACTACCAACTTGTCATCAAGATTAAAGGACAGAAATACTTGAAAGAATACTTCAGATTTGTTTTGTAGGTTTCTGTGGATGAGATTCTGAGAGTTCACTATCTAACTTGAGGTAGATAATTGCTGTTGGCTCGAAAAATATTTTATGGCATATACACAACAGTAAATGTACATAAAATGAAACAAACACATTTATTAATCCATTTCTATTACCGCGTGTCCTTACAGGGTTGTACTGGGACTTGGGTCTATCTCTCGTAGCCATTGGGCATTAGGTGGGGCTCACTTTGGACAGGTTGCCAGTCCACAGATGAACAAAACCAGGCATGCACTGATTCCAAAGAGCAATTTTAAAAGGCCAGTTAATCTGACATACGTCTTTATGCATTGTTGAGGAACCTGGACTAACCTGAGAGAACCTACAAATTCACAAACTCCATCCAGAAAGGGCCGTGTTGTGGGCCTCCTTAGTGCCATGAAGCAGTGCTCGCAACTGCCCACAATGCAGTCCACAGTTCAAAATGGCAAATAATTTATAAGTAGATGGTAGAGAATAACAGAAATGACTGCACTCTGCTTATTGTGTGTAGCTGAAAGGGCCATGTTCAACAAAATAGCAATGTTGTAGTTTAACCAGTGAGTTCATTCATTTTGGTAAGACATGTCAATGACCTTGAAATTGATGTTTCAAAAAGAAAGTGACACCAAATACACAAATAAGCAGTACTTTGGTTGTTCACGCAATGACCAGCGAAGATCCCAGAGAAATCCAACAGGAAATGTGGAATGACATCAGACACTTTCTGAGACAAAAATAAGAAATGCAGAGGAGCTGGAGAATATAGCCCAACAGTCCTGGATGGAAATAGATGGTTACAGTTAGTGAACTCCATGCAGCACAGATATTCAACAATTATCAGAAACATTGGTTAAAGAAATTCTGGTAAAATCCCTCATAGGAGTTCTTCAGTTGAAATGAGTCTTTTAAAGTTGCTACTGTTATTTTCAACAAGCCTGCAGAGAACCTGCTGCTGCCTGATACAGTTTCATGCGAGAAAACTCAGACATTTCTCACAGCTGGTGGTAATCACTGCTGAGCTCGATGTTACATCATGATCCTCAGCTGAAGGACACCAGACAAATTCATACAAACTCATACAAAACTGATCAAATTGCAATACACCCAGCGACGAAACCTTAAAGATGCCATTTAAGGACGTCACATCTTATCAAGTTTGCCACTTCAATTCTGAATGTAGCAATTAATCTTGCTACCCCAGGGAGATGACATTATGTCCGAAAGTCTTTGACTGTGAATGGGAGGGGCAGCAGTCGTCCATCTTAATAACATATCGTACCTGGCCAGCAGAGAAAAGCCTTGTTCTTGTGTGTCCACTCTGAGGATGACATTTATCAGCCAAATGTGTCCCACAGTAACAAAATGTAAAGAATTTCACTTACCTTGATATAGAAAAAAACTCACAGTATATCATACAAACAACTTTTTTTTTTGAGAAGTCTCACATAAAACATGATAATCAAGGCAGTTTTGAGCAGTGAACTTAGCTTTAGTGTAAAGTTAGGAGCGCATAGTTCATAATAAATGATTATGCTTAAAATCATAATTTAAAAAAATGACAGAAAGAAGGCCACCATATGCAGAGATATCTCTTTTGGATTTTACCTTCAAGGGACAGAAATGAACCAGGCATGTACATATGAAGTTGGTCAATATTAAAAGAATCTTATTAAAATGTCAAACAAATTAACCAAATTTAATTTAAAACCCTTCAACTGTGAGACAATAGAAATGTACTCTATCAGTCAATGTGAGGACGTAATGGAACATTATTTCTGACAGGCACCTTTAATTTTGAGATTATTTTCCCTGATCGTTTGAGTTCATGCAACTGAACCACTGTAATTGCTGCAATGAGCTGCATTCTTCTGCATTTGCTTTCAAAAGGATTTTTTTCCCCCTTGAAAAATATTGAGGTTTTCGCTCATTAAAGATTGATAGAATATTTTTGAAGTGAACTATTTAAACACCTTTTATCACTGTAGTAATGATATCAGACCCGAGGTGTGCAAATGTTGATTTAGTGAGCTTTATGGGCAAATCTACGAAAAACAAGACAAAAATAATAAAAAATCCTGGTTTAGTGGCTCGTACATAGATGTGATACTACCGCCACCTAGCGTAATTTATTGCGAACTGCACTCCAACTTCTATGAGAATAAATAATTACTTTTTTTTTTTTGCCAGTTTAACTGAAGATTTCTAAACCTTTCCCCCTCAAATGTTCACTAAGACACTGTAAAATTTTGAAGTGGTATAGATTAGGGTAATGAACAACTTAAGACAAAAAGGGATATTAACTTGTGATTAATTTTAAAGAATTAACCCCAAGCTTTTGACATCTCATGTTCATCATCACAAGCAGCCCCAGAGGATATGTGAAGCTTGCACTCAGTGGATGTGTCTCTTTGCTACCCTGTGTTAGACAGTATGCTCATGCAGGGGGTGACCAGGCTCTCACTATTACTGCCGATACGCACGAGTCCCTCAGCAATTCTGACAAGTACACGGTGGATAGACATAATGAATCTTTTAACATATTAATATGTTAAAAGGGTTATTTCAGTACATTCCCTTCACATTAAACAGAAGAGAAGCCTTGAGATAGTAAAAGAAGCTACAGTCAGATTTGTCTAACTTTGTGTTTTTGCAACGTCTCTGCATTTACTGCTAATGACCAGAAGAGGGCGGTGGTGTTTTTTTCATATATATAAGACACTGTAAAATTTATATAATTCATGTTATTTGTTTATTCATATTTGAAGCAAATGTGAAGCAAAGGGTTGGAACATCAATGTTTACCTGCTATTTGACTTTTTTCCAAGTTATTCTTATTTAAATGATTTTTACAACCAGATTATTAAACATGCCTTAACTTTCTTTGCATTGCTTCTGGTAATATTTAGGCCCGAGCAGCTAAGCGCTGCGAAGGCCTATTGTATCTGTACTGTTTATTATTATTATTATTATTATTAGGCCCGAGCAGCTAAGCGCTGCGAAGGCCTATTGTTTCTGTACTGTTTATTATTATTATTATTATTTTTCTTCCCACCTCTTTGGGGGGCTTTTTGGCGGCCTTATCATATTGGAAAACTCACCAAACTTGGCGGAGGCCTTAAGCCTGTTTAAAAATTTTGATTTTTAAGGTCATCACAAAAATCCCATAAGAAATGGCTCAATAGCGCCACCTAGAAATTTTCAAAGGACCCATTGCTATTCACTTACTTTATCCTAGAGACATGAAATTTGGTACACTTGTAGAGCTCCCCAGGACGCTCAAAATTTACAATTAATGTCATAGTGCAAGTATCACAGGAAGTCAGCCATTTTGGATTGAAGGTCCAATTTTGAGGCCATTTTTGCCGTTTACAGCCTCCGTATTTGATCGAACTCCTCCTAGGGATTTCGATTGATCGGCTTCAAACTCGGTCAGTCTGTTCATAAGGCATGTCCCATCTAAAGTTATCAAAACGGTGAGTTTTTTGAGTATGCTGAAGGGGGGTTAGCAGGGGTCAAAGTTCACCTACTCGCCGTAAAAAATAAACTGCTATATCTCCTACACAGAAACTCACAGAGGCACCAAAGTTACTGTGATTGATCATCATCGGGTGTTCTACAATACCCTATGGTCGAATGATGACATCACTTAGGCCACGCCCCCTGAGAACAGGAAGTGTAATGTTTTACTGTGAACTGTCACTATCTGACCCCTTTGACCTCATCAACATGAAACTGTGCCCAGACACAGAAGACATGTTGGTGTATTGAGGATTCCAACCCCGACCAGCTTCGATGGAGCAGGTGGGCGTGGCGGCGTGGCGAAGTGACCTGTAACGCCATCGCCATACGTTTTGCTCTCAATTCCACAGTTTCGGTCCCAGCTGCTCCAAACTCACAAGGATGGATCTTCATCCACTCCCCGACAGGAATCCATCACAATATTTGGTGGGCGTAGCCTAATTTCTCTATAGCGCCCCCTAGAAAACTTTAAATGATCAGCCCCAAGCCATGCTTTAACCTACAAATACGAAACTTTGTACACATGTGTACCTTGTCAGGACTTACAAAAAAGTCTCTTGGAGCCATGGTCTAAACCCCACAGGAAGTCGGCCATTTTAGATTGAAATTCAGATTTTGACCCCATTTTTGCCGTTTACAGCCTCCGTATTTGATCGAACTCCTCCTAGGGATTTCCATTGATCGGCTTCAAACTCGGTCAGTCTGTTCATAAGGCATGTCCCATCTAAAGTTATCAAAACGGTGAGTTTTTGAGTATGCTGAAGGGGGGTTAGCAGGGGTCAAAGTTCACCTACTCGCCATAAAAAAATAAACTGCTATATCTCCTACACAGAAACTCACAGAGGCACCAAAGTTTCTGTGATTGATCATGATCGGGTGTCCTACAATACCCTATGGTCGAATGATGACATCACTTAGGCCACGCCCCATGAGAACAGGAAGTGTCATGTTTTACTTTGGACAGTCGCTATCTGACCCCTTTGACCTCATCAACATGAAACTGTGCCCAGACACAGAAAACATGTTGGCGTATTGAGGATTCCAACCCCGACCAGATTCGATGGAGCAGGTGGGCGTGGCGGCGTGGCGAAGTGACCTCTAACGCCATCGCCATACGTTTGGCTCTCAATTCCACATTTTTGGGCGCAGCTGCTCCAAACTCACAAGGATGGATCTTCATCCACTCCCCGACAGGAATCCATCACAATATTTGTAGGGTGTGGCCTAATTTCTCTATAGCGCCCCCTAGAAAATTTTAAATGATCAGCCCCAAGCCATGCTTTAACCTACAATTACGAAACTTTGTACACATGTGTACCATGTCAGGACTTACAAAAAAGTCTCTTGGAGCCATGGTCTAAACCCCAGAGGAAGTCGGCCATTTTAGATTGAAGTTCAGATTTTGATCCC